TGGTCAATTCCAACTGACACAAATGCGCAACGCCCACCCTTAAGCTGACCGCCCAACATCATTGTCCATTATTATGCATGAAAGGAGAGGCCATGAACAAGTCAACCGATTGCCATTGAGTTATGCACATCCATCACCTCCAGAGACCCAGTCTAGGATTCTTCTTTAGCAGCCACACCTATCCTTTGTCCACCTTAAGTCAGTCAGTTAAACTTTTTCCACTACGGCCAATGTGAAGCCTATGCGCTATTCTACTACCACCTTGAATGTAACTTTTTACAATCCATTTTCGCTACGATAGTTTAGACTCCTCACCTTCATTGAAGTGGCCCACCGATTACAGATTGACCGACCGAAAGCCTTATGCTCGCACACCACCCCAATAGACACTCGTTGGACCATGGCAAGTGCAAATGCACAAATGCATGACCGCTGAGTCTAAAGTCTTCTTCACACCATCTCATTGCTTCTATGTAGTTTCCAAGGCATTACACTCTCGCTTTTAAAGGAGACTTATAGCCAAACAAATGGCCAGTTATTTCCTGCCTAATTGACGTAAAGTTCCCCGTGATTTCTGCCTTGTTCTACCCCCAGCTGTTACCTCAGCTTCACCTGCAGTCGTATAATTGATGGATCCCGAAGTAGGTGATAATCCTGAGAGTGATTGTCATTAGACCAACTCAAGTCTTGCCATTTGGTTGCTTAAGGTCGTTACTGCAATAGATCTAGTCTATGTACCACATAGCTTGGAGCCGAATTCACCAAGTTCATTTTGCGATTTGTTCAAGTAGAAAATAAACGCCGTGTGAGAGTGGACTACAAACCAAGTCTGCGACATAATAAAAAGGTTTGCTTGAAATGACGGACCGGAACCCTAATGCTGAAAAGTTTGTAGTCAAGTCCTACCGTAAAAAGCACCACCGAAAGAAGTTGGGAATGTTGCTAAGTTCCAGACAAATCTCAGCCTGCCCGGCATTCAAATGGTCCTAACAACCACCAACTGGCTTATCACCAGTGGAAAACATCCAAGACTCACGCTTAACGGCTAGCAAGCGCGCCCAGCATCTCGCTACTCATTCCAATTAAGTAGATCAAGGAATGGAAAAGGAGTAAAGTTCAGAGAGAAGCGCAAAACCCACCCAGAAAAAACAGCCTCAACGGATTCAGACATCTGAATAGGCCAAATACCACCGAGCTATCAAACACAATGGAATATCAAAATTCCCAACCACCCCGCAACCTCAATTCAACACAACTAATATCAAACAAATTTGAAAAAATTCAGAAGACTACCACCTACGCCCATGTTAAAAGTAACTAACTCGCATAAACGAATGTGACATTTTTACACCGAATATCGCACGATTCAATTCTTAGAACACTACATCCATGCATACACTTTATTCATTTACTCCTTATCGGATTTTGCAACAATGACGCGAGTACCTCTAATACGACCAGTACGCCTGGCAGCAATAAGACCGACCTTTCGACCATGGGAGGCGTCCCTGCGAATGGTTGACGGCTTACCAATATGCTGATGATTACCACCACCATGAGGATGCTCAACAGGCTAAAAGAAAAAAATTAGTGACATACACAGGGGAAATCGTAAGTTATAATCAGAAGTGAGCTCACATTCATACAGACGCCACGGACGTGCGGCCAACAATTGCGCTTAGCTTTGTACTTGTGGTAGGCACGACCTGCTTTCAAAATAGGCTTGTCAATGCGTCCACCACCAGCAACAAGACCAACCATAGCACGGCAGCCTGAAGAAAGAACTTTCTTGGCACCAGACGGGAGCTTAACACGGGTCTTGTTTGTGTCGTGATTGTGTGACACAATAGTGGCATAGGTACCACCTGCCCGAGCAAGCCGACCTCTGTCACCATTCTTCTCCTCTACGTTGCAGATAACCGTACCCTCAGGCATAGAGCTCAGAGGTAGCACGTTACCAATCTAAATTCATAAAAACCAAAACAACACTTCAAACCTGTAAAGAGGCTTTCTTCCCGCAGTAAACGAACTGACCAGTATGCATTCCTTCAGCAGCAATGAAAAGTTGCTTGATGTGCCGGTATGAGTACATATCACGGAAATCAACACGAGCCAGAGGGGCACCACGACCAGGATCGTGGATAATTTCCCTAACAACACCACGAATATATCCATGTCTTTCTGCATAGTCAACAGGACGCAGCTTGGCCGGCCCCTTCCGGTGTTTAACGTGCGCCCTGAAAACACTCCCAGCGCCCTTACGCTGACTCCTAATAACGCGTCCCATGCCCCACCTGTAAAAGAGACGACGAATAGACCACGACAAAAATCGAACGCAAGGACCAGAAGACGCGTTAAAACAAATGTGCAGACTAAAAAATTTTTTATTATTCATTCCTTTCAACTTTCTTTAGGTAAAAAAAACTGTGCAAATAATGTTTGTGTGCGCAATACCAGTCAAAACGAAAAGCGCGATTTGCACAGGTATCATCGTGTTCCAATAATTTCGCTAAAACCAGTCGTTAGTAAAACAATCCAAATAATTATAACTATTTTATGCAGACATATTTTACTGATGCATAGTTTTAAGTAACATATCAGTATTTAACTGCTATGAGAAGCTAAATTTCTCAAATTATAATAAAATGCTAACCATAAATAAAATTTTTTGCTGCAAGCAAGTTGCAACGTTTTTTTAGATTCGTTGTTTATTAAAGTAATGGTCGTGGCTACATGACTTCTTAAACTGATCCGAGATTACGTACTTTATTAGAGCCCTCCTATCCCTTACTGTACGATACCAATTCCTACTGACTATTTTTAAAAAAGAAAAAATCACCTTCTGTTGATTTAGCTATTCTGACCAATAAATTTGTCGGCTGATTGTACTTGTTTTACCTAGTCATTAAAGTTGTTCGACAGCACTTCGTTTCGAATTTTTTGGAGCTTGGGTGATGAGTGGATTTGTTGCATATAGTACACCGCGTGGATTGTATTATGCAACTTTTCACTCCTATACCAAGTCTGAGCACCATTTATTTGACTTGCTGTTTCTTATGATTTGTCTTCAATTTTTTTCACTATGTCCACATTTGAGGGACGCAAGCGTAGGTGTTTAATATTGTCTTCGATTTCATTTGCTTCTTCTCCCTTATTTTATTGTGTTTAACACACTATTGCATATTTTGAATATTTTTGGTTGTCCTCTTTTTTACTATGGACATTGAAGTCACTTTATGCTTGCTGTCTCTTGAATACCCTTATATTGCGCATGCGAGCGCAGCCGTTATGATCTGTTCAAATTTTACTGCAAGGTCAGCTTTCCTCGCTCATCAATTTTAGCCGCTCTGATTGCGCATTGTTGATGCCACCAAGGGATGGTGGCTTTGCAGAAGTCGCTTATAATTTTTTATATATTGTTTCGGTTCCATGGTGGAAAGCATTGGCATTGTTTTTTAAGTTTAATTATGGATGTTGCGTCTTCAATAATTGCTGGTCTTTTGATGCTATTATTATTGGAAATCACTTGTCTCCTGAAGAGCATGTTAAACAGGACTAGCAGAAGACGGTTTCACTTCTTCACTCTATCATTTCACAAATATATGACTTTGCATCCGTCACTCATACCTGTAGACCCATG